GTGCTTTTATAGCTTCCTGGTCATTACGTCACCCGCCCGTGACGTCTCGCCCATCTATTGGTCTGATTACACACGAGGTTCAGAGCCGGTCACGCTGAAGGGCGTTCCCGAAGCGTCCTCCGACGCAGCGTCTCGTTCCCTCGAGGAACCATGGTTACATACGTAACCTGAGACGATTCTAATCGAGAGATAAGAATCTTGTGATCAGCAGTATCAAAGGCTGAAGATAGGTCCAGCATTACTAAAATGACGGAATCTCCAGAATCTGTAGCCATTAAAACGTCATTAAGAACTTTTATAAGAGCCGTTTCAGTACTGTGCAAAGATTTGAACCCAGACTGGAATGTCTCATAAATCTGATTATTTGTTAAAACAGACTGAAGCTGTAAACACACAATTTTTTCCATCAGCTTAGAAATAAACGGTAACACAGATACTGGTCGAAAATTGGATAAAACAGTAGTGTCAAGTGAAGGTTTTTTTAGGATAGGAGAGACTGTTGCCATTTTCAGACTGTCTGGTATAAATCCAGATGACAAACATTTATTCAACAATGACACAAGTTCTGGTCCCACTGTGTGAATTATTTGTCTCAGATAGCGAGGGTGTATTATATCACCTGGAGAAGAGGAAGGTTTCAATTTAACAATTATGTCCTTCACTGATTGTAGAGAAACCAGATTGAAGGTAGTCCAGGTAGTCACAGATATCGTGCTTGTTTGAGTTTCATAGTCAGTGTCTCAGAGTGTATTGGTAGGATGTTGGATAACGCTAACAGGTGGATTCAACACAGAGTTTATAACATTGAAAAGAACTTTAGGGGTCTGATGATGCTTATCAATTAGATCAGAGAAATAAGAGGATTTAGCAGTCTTTACTGCTCTCTGGTAAGAGGATAAGCAGTCCTTAAGAATGTTAAAAGAAATTTGTAGTTTATCTTTTTTCCATTTTCTTTCAGCCTGCCTACAGGCTTGTCTCAAGGAGCGAACATTCTGGTCAACCCAGGGCTCTGTTTTGAGTTTAGGCCTGAAAGGCTTGACAGGTGCAATACGGTTTAGGATGTCCGACCATACAGTATTTAAATGCTCAAGATGTTTATCTGCATCTAGATCAGATGTTAAAGTCTCTATTGGAATTGAGGAACTGATTTCAGAATAGTGCTTAGTAAATTCTTCAGGAAAACAAGGCGAGTAGGCACGAAATAGGTGGATATCATCAACAGTATTTAAGGGGATAGCTGGCTGAGACATGTTAAAAATAATGGGAAAATTATCAGAAATAAGGGTTTGAATTACCTCCATTTTGTTATAGAGAGGCCAAAAGACAGTATTAAGTCCAAGGTGTCCTAAAATGTGTGTGGGGTGATTTACCCACTGCATCAAATTAAAAGAGTTTATTGTATTCTGGAAATCAGATGTAAGTAGCTTTGAGGGACAGCATAAATGAACATTAAAATCTCCTAATAAAAGAATACGATCGTATTTAGTAATGAGATCCCCTACAAACTCTGAAAATTCCTCCACAAAACCTTTAGTTAAATGAGGCGGCCGATAAATCAAAGTCAATACAATAGGTTCAGGCCAGACAAGTTGTAGTAGCTGAGCTTCAAAGCTCGAGAATATGGTAGATGGCAACATCCGACACTGATGTCTGAAAGTGTCCTTAGTGATGATAGCTAATCCACTACCTCTACCAGAGGGTGTTATAGAAACAGTAATTTGCAGGAACGAGTTCTGAATAAGGGCTTAGGTCTCCTACCTTTACCCAGGTCTCCGTTATAAATAGAAAATCCAAGTTGTGAGATAAGATAAAATCATTTAAAATAAAAGTCTTATTGACCAGAGAATGGGCATTGATGAGCACCATCCTCGGGGAGCATAGCGTACAAGCTGAAGCAGAGGCTTTGCCCAGCGGTAGATGATTCGAGACATTTATTCCCCGGGGGCGACGCTGGATGGTAATCCGAGGGTCAAGGTCCAATGGTCGTCGAACCGGAGAGATAGGAGCAGCAGGGAGGACTTGCTGAATGTAGGTAAGCCAGCGTGGTAACAGGACCAGAGGGTGGCGGACCGTGAAGTGGCTCAAGTCCATCCCAGTCCCTAGCCTGAGGTTTAGGGGCGATCCGGCTCGCATTTGGAGCTTTAATCTCACGATCATGCCGGCACGCTTGCCGCGTCTGCGCCGTCGTTTCCTTGCAGTAACATCCAGCGGCCAACGCCGAAGAAAGTCAGGAATATCTCGTAATGAGATGCATTATTTGAATGCTTGGCCAAAGAGATGTGTCTTTAATCTAGATTTAAACAGAGAGAGTGTGTCTGAACCCCAAACGTTATCAGGAAGGCTATTCCAGAGTTTGGAAGCCAAATGCGAAAAAGCTCTATTTCTTTTTGGGTTTAGTAAGTGCATGTATTTTTTATTTTTTTTTGCTGCAGAAATTCAATACAAAAATGGAATGACCCATGTAGTGGACAGCACATTCCAGGGCCCAGTTTATGGTGGGGCCCCTCTCTGACCACAATAGTGGACAAAGGTTTGCTACATTTTGATTGGATCTTGGTGGACTAACATAAGCAAACTGTCCAACGCCATCAGATAGAGATGCTAGGACAATGGCCAGACACCTCTTAGAGGGCAAGAAGAAGATCTCTGGTACCAAGCACGGGAAGGACAGGACCTCTCTTTGGTCAAAATGCAGTTTCTGCCTTTCACCCATCTAGAGATGAATTCATAAGGTTTTGGCCTGTGACCGCCATAAAAATTCCATAAAACCCCTTTTCCATCATGTTTGGTCTCTATTTGTGTAGAATATTGCCAAAGGTATTCTGGTTGTGGTTTGGAAAGTGAGAAATGTATTGGCAAAACTTTAAAGAGCCAGGACCTCTGGATGCAGCAGCAGTGGGTGAAACAAAGAGAGATCACAAAGTTCCATCCAAATCCATTCATAACTATGTGGGCCATCTACTGTGGCCCTAGGTACACATTTTCGGCTGGGATGCTACTTTTGGGCCCAAACTAAATGTGTTATTTGTTAAGGACCCACAGGGCACGCTCACAGGGCAATACTTTTGGTTCACAGTATTCCCACTCTTTCTCACTAGAGTATTTACGGTAGTTTTGTGGCAGAGGGATAACTGCGCATGTGCATAGCGTGTGTCTGTACGTTATGAAACGGTGAAGAGATAATCTGCTCTACAGACTTTTGTCTGACTTTATTTTATTTCCCTCCTTTTCTGTGTGTGTACATGTATACATTTTTCCTCATTCGATCCCCATGTATGTGGACGAGTGTGTTGGCGCTTGAGGCATTTTTATTAAACCCGGTGAAAAATATGCCATTTTCTCGTCTCCTCACATATCAAATCGGAAAGGAATTTATTTTCAATAAAAATTAAGGAAATATTAGAAAAGTGGAAAATAAGGTGCCTCACAGATGTTTATTGGTTAAGGTTAGGGTTAAGTGTATCGATAGCTTTATTGTGCTAAAGTGGCATGCATTTGATCATTTTAATAAAATATAATAATTTACACTGAATACATTATTATTGCATACTGTTTTATGCAATAATGCAATTTATGTGCTACAATAGTGAGGTAAAGATATCTGGCACTATTTGCACCAAGTAGTATAAACTGCATTTAACTACAATTATTGCAAAGAAAATGCTCATACTTTTACAGTGAAAATAGAATCTATTGCTGTTTGCACTTAGTGAAAATAGCTTATTGCTAAAAAATACTGCTATTTTCACTTAGTGTAAATAGCATATATGTTTGCACCCCACAGCTACAGTGGAACTGATCAATGGAGCTCCAAAATTACGATTCACCATGGCAACAGCTCCTGCCAAAAAGACTTCCGCATACTACGGAATACGTAACTTTAATTCTAAATCAATGTTATCAGGTGAAAACTGGCAGAAAGGTAATTTATTGAACTAATAGGCCTATTCATTTTCATGGTATCCCAAAAAAAAAAAGAAAAAAAATGTGGCAGCAGAAAAAAAATTAAACATAAAAGCATAATTCAATCAGGTAAAGCTTCAAGCGTGAAATGGGTGTAGGTAGGCTGACGTTACATGACTTTACAAATATTTGACATTCAATAAATATCATTCAGTGTATATATATTTCAAATGTGCAGCAGCTTTTTCCACATAGTCTAATGCTTTTTCACATAAATAAATGTTCTCTAATCCAACATGCTACATTTCATAATTAGGGTAATGAAAAACATTTACTTTCTATTCAGTAGCCAACAGCAAGAAGGCTACGAGAGACTCATAAAATGGGAGGAGAACCTGCACCAGCACCACTGACGGATGAAGAGGAGATGGCCAAAATGCCAATATTAAAATCCAACAGGGAAAAAAATAATCTGTTGCTCTTGTATTTGTAGAACATAAAGATGACCAAATAAACTGAATAATTTGTTTATTTAACAGCTGTGGTGGTGGTTACGGCATATATCTTGCACTACCCTTCCATCTGGCATCCTTCCATTCCATACAGTAATCAGCTTCATTTTCGGAAGGTGCGATGGTGAGAATATGTGTGTAATCAATGCATCCAACCACAGTGGAAATCCTAAAGGAAATTCTAATTATTAGGTTACTTAAAGGTCACAACCAGATGTTATCAAGGGTCCGGTGAGAAAAATAATCTTGTTTCCATTTTCATTAAGATGATTTTTCTTACCCCGCTGGCAGTTAATTTTACTTGTTTACCCCAGGAAAGATATATATCATATATATTTTTTCTTGTATAGAAAATGCATCATGATTTAAGAATTTTTAGATATTTGTATTTGAAATAAGGCAAAAATCTCTGCAATGAAAGCAATTTTTGCAGTGTGAATGAATGAATGAGGTATTTAAACATTGCTTACGCTTTAAAAAGGGGGAGGAGACCGAAAGAAACTCTGGGTTTACTGAAGAAAACCTGCTCCCGACCAGGTTAGTTTCACAGAGTAAGTTACTATGGTAACTTACCCAAAGGTTTAGTTTTGTCTTTTATTGGAACCGAAAACACTGAGTTTCCCTTTTCTGGGGTTAACCAACTCTGAGTTTCCAACAAAACTCACTAATTCAATCCAGGTTCGGTGAGTCAGGATAATTTGATGTGCAGACTTACTCTTAAGCAGCCCTTAATGTCGATCATGGATCAAATCGATCCACCAAGGCAATCAGTGAATATTTGTGTTGTTTAATTCATTTGAGACATTGTGTTTTCCTCATGAAAATATATCCATTTTGCTGTCAGGAGTGGACAAGGCTTACGCGAGTGAACGAACGCTGCTGCGCGCATGCGTGCTAAACAGATTGAACACAATAGAATAATTGCCCAATAATTCTGAATAAAATATGCATTCTGCTAAAATATTTGTTGGACATTAAATGTGGCACATGTAGAATTTTAATCCTACATAAGTGTATTTTTATGATAGCAGTAACTGAAAATCAAATGTAAGCTGGCTAATACAGCCCATTACTAGCTCAAATTAGTTAAATGTGTGTTCCTCTTATCAGTTAAAATGTAGTCTGATTTCTATTATATATTTTCATTTTTAATTTAGTGTTTTTAATGTTTTAATTATTTAAAGAACAATTTTAAATTTTTATGTTTTACTAATAACCATAAAAGATACTGCCGTCATAAAACCTGAGAGAAAGGCTGCATGGCTAGAAACTTCTGATCAACTGTGCGCAAGTAGCAACTTTGTTAAAATATTTTCATAGATCTTAAAACGTCATTGCATTTTGGGCACAATACTTTAAATACAGTTGGTTGTAGCCTATATTTTTATTTATTTGATTATTTAAGTTGCATTTTCTGTATACTTTTATTTTTAGACTAATAATAGTCAAATAATTGTAAATGAGAGAGTCAGTGGTAATATCAATGCGTTCCTATTGTTAAGTGTTAGAGGAGCTCAGGTTTAGCCTGACAGTTATGCCGAGTTTACACTGCACGATTTTAGCCCGATTTTTCACTCGCCGACAGGTTTTGCGAAATCGCAGACAAATGACTGAAATCGGAGGCAAATTGGTGCTCGTTCACGCGAGTGACAATCACGCAGTGTGAATTATCAAAGAAGCGATCTGAGGGAATCGCCGACACCCGCAAAATATTTGGCATGCTAAATATCTGGAGCTGTCAGCGATTCGCAATCACGCTGTGTGCAATGATTTCTGACTGAAAACTACATCGGCGATGACCTATAGCCAATGAGAGACCAAGACACAGGGCAGAGGGAAGTTCGGGGAGGAGTTATAGACCAGAATATCAGTATTTTAATAGATATATGAACAATATCATACAGAAACCAGCACAAACATTTGCTTGCCCAGCCACAACATCAGCATAACAGTTACTGCAAAATTATTTACCTCCAACTCCCTTTGCAGAACACCTAATCCCTGTTCCCTGCATCTCCCTCCTGCATAATCTGTTTTTCTTTTTCT